CTTCATCAGCAAATGAATGTCTCAAAAGCTTTAATCCATTTGCGTCATCCTGGTCTACTGTACTTTGAGGAAGCAGTTCTCTGTTAATTGTATTTTGAGAGCCTTCCAACCTGAAGGGCTCATCTTCTGGCACTATGTCTGACAATATTCTGGTGCTATTCAGTGTTTTGATATTCTGTATTCTTTTGCTACTGGACAGTGTTTCACTTCTATTCACAAGGTTTTCAGTGACTAAACATTCAGAAGTAATCCATCTCTGCTTCTTCCTACTCTGTCTTAGTCTGGAAACTCAGCTGAAACCTGTTCCCCATGAGTGATGCTGCTGGTATTTAAAATACCATTGGCATAGCTTCCAGTAACATAGCAACACAAAAGCCAATTCAGTACGACAAACTGACAGATGAATGAAGCCTTGATTTTCTCCATTGCCTTCAGATTGGACTTCTTTCTTCAATACCATTGGTTCTTGACCATATGCTACCTCTTGAAATGGCTGAACATCAACCAGTTCTTTTTGGTACAGTGACTTTGTTTATTACTTCCATATTCTTTTGTTTCCTGTATCATTCAATATTTTGCCCATAGAGTAACCCAATATTTGATTTTTTTTTTTTTCTTCAGTTCTTTCAGCTTGAGAAATGCTGAGTGTGTTCTTCCTTTTTGGTTTTCTGGCTCAAGGTCTTTGCACGTTTCATAATACTTGTTTTTTTTTTCTTGAGCTTCCCTTTCAAATTTTCTGTTCAGCTCTTTTACTGCATCATTTCTTCTAGTTGCCTTGTTGTTGTTGTCATGTGCCATTGAGTCAGAACCGACTCATAGCGACCCCATGCACAGCAGAACGAAACAATGTCCGATCCTGGGCCAATCTCACTACCGCAGCCACACTTGACGCCATCAATGATGATACCTGGCAGATCCATCTCGTTGGGGGTCTTCCTCTTTTTCTCTGACCCTCCACCTTACCCAGCATGACATCCTTCTCCAGTGACTGTTTCTTCCGGACAATGTGTCCAAAGTATGAGAGATGAAGCTTAGCCATCTTGGCCTCCAAGGAGCACTCTGGTTGCACTTCTTCCAAATCAGATCTATTGGTTCTTATGGAAGCCCATAGCACTTTCAGTATTCTCCTCCAACACCACAACTCAAAGGCATCAATTCTTCTACGATCTTCCTTATTCACTGTCCAGCTTTCGCATCCATATGAGGTTATTGAAAATACCATGGCTTGGGTCAAGCGCACCTTAGTCCTCAAGCTGACATCTCTGCTCTTCAATACTTTAAAAAGTTCCTGTGCAGCAGATTTGCCTAATGCAATACATCATTTGATCTCTTGACTGCTGCTTCCATGAGTGTTGATAGCTGATCCAAGAAGAATGAAGTCCTTGACAACTTCAATCTCTTCTCCATTGATAAGAATGCTGTTTATTGGTCCAGTGGTGAGGATTTTTGTTTTCTTTACATTGAGTTGTAATCCATACGGAAGACTGTGTTAGTTGCCTTAATGTCTCTATATTCAACAACAAGTTGCAGAGTTTCTTCTGAAATTCATTTTGGTCTTTTCTTTCTTTCCTGTCTTTTACTTTTTTTCATGTATTGTTGTTGTTGTTGTTGTTAAGTGCCTTCGAGTCGGTTCCGACCCATAGCGACCCTGTACAGGGTTTCCGAGGGTGTAAATCCTTACGGGAGTAGAAAGCCTCATCTTTCTCCCGCGGAGCAGCTGGTAGTTTCGAACTGCTGACCTTATGGTTCGCAGCCCGATTCGTAACCACTACGCTACAAGAGCTCCTTTTTTTTCCCATGTATGATGTTCTTAATTTCATCTCACAACTCTTTTGGTCTTTAGTCATTTGTGTATAATGCTTCAACTCTGTTCTTGAGATAGTCTCGAAATGTAGGCAGGTTATACATAAGGTCATACTTTAGCTCTTGTGGACTTGTTTTACTTTTCTTAACCTTCAGCCTGAACTTGCATATGAGCAATTGATGCCTGTTTCACAGGTCTTGTTTTGCTGATGATATTGAGCTTCTCTATCTTCTTTTCCCACAGATGTAACCTATTTGATTCCTGTGTATTCCATCTGGTGAGCTCTATGTGTGTAGTCATCATTTATGCTGTTGAAAAAACTATATTTGCAATGGATATGTTTTTGGTGTTGCAAAATTCTATCATTCGATCTTCAGGAACATTTCTATCAACAAGGCCACATTTTCCAACTACTGATTCTTCCACTTGGTTTTCAATTTTCATATTCTAATCACCAATAATTATTAATGCATCGTGATGTCATATTTGATCAATATCAGACTGAAAAAGTTGGTAGAACTCAATTTCATCATCACTGGCTTTAGATGTTGGTGTGTAAATTTGAAGAATAGTGGCATTAACTGGTATTGCTAGGAAATTTACAGATATTACCCTATTAGGGACAGCATTGTACTTCAGTGTAGATCTTGAAATGCTCCTTTTGTCCAGGAATGTGGCACCATTTCTTCTCAATTTGTTGTTCCTGTCATAGTAAACCATATGACTGTCTGATTCATAATGTTCATTTCTGCTCACTAATACCTAAGATATCAAGCTTTATGTGTTACATTTCACTTTTGATGGCTTCCAATTTTTCTTAGATTTGTATTTCAGGCATTCTATGTTCCATTTGTTAATGAACATTTGCAGCTGTTTATTCTCATTTTTAGTTATATCCTATCAGCAAATATAGGTCCTCAATACTTTGTTCCATCCATGCCATTAAACTCTTCTTTGAGGAGGCAGTTCTTCCCAATTCATATTTTGAGTGCCTTCCAACCTGAGGGGCTTATCTTCAGACAATGTATCAGACAGTGATCTATTGCTATTCATAAGCTTTAAAAACAAACAAACAAACAAACAAACGGTTTTTATTGTGGATTGAGTGAAAGTTTACAAGGCAGATCATCAGTTTTACATTCAAATCATACATCTTGTTTCATTACAATGATTATAATCCCCACCATATACCATCAGTTAACAATATTTCTCTCTATTCACTTTAGCTCTATATTATTATTTTTTAAACACTCAGGCATCTATAATAATTTACACCACCAAAGGGCACCTTCTGTAAGTTTGTCTCCTGGCTGTCAGATCTTAGTCCCTCTCAACCCATGAATCTAGAGTCTTCAGCTGCTCCCTCCCTCCACGTTCCCATCTCTGCCTCCAACTCTGGTATCGCTGTTTCTCTGGATAAGGTCTCGCATTCCGCATGTGCTCTTCTCCCTTGATGATGGTCCTAGGGTCCTTTGTTTCTGGACTGTAAGATTAACTACTCTGTTTTTGTTACAAAACTTCTACCTTTACAATTGTGACAGTCACAATTAGTCATGATAACAATTACTCACTATTGAATCATAAAAATCTTATCTCCATCTCTTTTAACCAGACACATCTAGACAAGATGAAAACTATTCAGTGGGGACTCTTTCTTCCCCCATACACTACTAAACTCCCCCTTGAAACCTTGTAAGCCAGTCACTTCGTGCCTTTATTGCTCCCTCATTTTAATGTCTAAGTTGCCCATCCCTATCTACCCTATGTGCAGAGAGGATAGCATTGATATTTGATGTGAAGACTCCTTCACTCTCTGTTGGTATTTAGAGTTACTACCTCCATGAGTATAGGTCAAGTTCATCAAATTGTAGCAATTTACCCTCATTTCCTTTATCAAACATTGTTTTGATCTTTTTTTTCCCCTAATGTTGGCCCAGGATCGGACATTGTTTCGTTCTGCAGTGCACAGGGTCACTATGAGTCGGTTCCGACTAGATGGCACCTAACAACTATGACAACAACAATCTTCCTCTAGTTGAGTTCTGATTATCAAGTCACTGAGGCTAGGTCAAATGGGTACTATCTGAAACTCTGGATGTTCTTGTGTGTCTCCTCTCTCTTCATATCAGCTCTAGCCCTCTGTGGCAATGTACTTGTTCATGGGCTCAGGTGTCCCCAGGTCTCAACACCCTTTGGACCAACCAGCCCTTCTTCTTCTCTCTCTCATCTCCAAGTCAACAGTCTGTGGAACATGGTTGAACTCAGTTTATTTCTTCATTGCTGCCTTTCCCTCTCTTCCACTCACCAGTACACCAATGTGGTCATCAGCAAGCTTACATGCCTACTCCTGTGTTCCCTTTGAATTTCAAGTCCTGAAGGAACTTGGTTGCTTGCCTGAAAGGCTTCCTGGTGAACAACTTGCTTATTCTTGTAGTAGCCAGTCATACTGCCATTTTTGTTTTGGGTTTTTCCTGATGATATTTCTTTGAAGATGTATCATTTGTCGCTTTAGCGGTTCCAGGCTGGTCTGCTTGTCCTTTCTAGTGGGAAAGTCCCACCTCAGAAGGTTCTGGTTGGGGCTTATTCATAAGCTTTTAAGTGGCTTACTGTTCAGAAGTGGTCTGACTTTCCTTTTCCTTGATTGTGTTACTCTGAATGCTTTGTTGAAACTTGTTTAATAAGGGTGACCCTGCTAGTACACTTAAAATACTGGTGGCATGTTTCCAGCATTTCAGCAACACAAAAGCAACCACAGTATGTTTACTCAAAAACTCAAAATTGCTTTGCAATTTTGTGGGAGAGATCAAAGGAAGAGTGTTTGGGGGAGGTTTGCATAAATGCTTCATGGGACTATGCTTGCTTAGCTCTCTCTGTAAGTTAAGGTTTTATTGATTTATATTACTTATTTAACCACATGAAAACTTGTAATCAACCAGTGCTTGTGTTAACCGGACCTAACCTAGACTGTTATATTTTGTTCACTGTGGATTTCCCTGGCTAAGAATGGTCCCTTCACTTCCTTCTAGTCTCTCTGAAAGAGCAGTTTCACTCTATTGAAACACCCTCCTATTTTATGATTCTCTTATTAGATCTCATCCAAGTTGCAATAACCACCAATGCAAGTAGCTCTCAGCTTTCATGAATAGTTTCTCTACTCAGCTCCTGGCCCTGAATATAAATCCTTTTCATGACACTTTTATTGCTCTCCGCTATGCCTGGACCACATGTCCTTGTGAATATAAATAGTGTCTCCATCACCACCCCAGCAATACCCCGAGAGCTCCTCATTTTGTGGCTTTCGTGACAAACAAGTTTCCTGGAAATTACAGCAAGAGGGCCAAATGGTCTATGTATAATATGATCAGACCCTAGATATAAAGGTGGGTCCTTTGGATTTGGGCACTTAGCCATTTCAATTATGAAAACTGTTGCTTTTAAATTAATAGACAAGCCTCACTGGACAGATCTCAATCAGTGCTGCTACTGCTAGCTATCAAGTAGGTCCCAATTCATGGGGCCCTCAATCATTTAATAAAATGGTGCTTGAGCCTGCATCATTCCTATGATCATATACATATTGGGCCATTGTGGTCCATAAGGTTTTCACTGGTTGATTTTTAGGAAGACCATCAGGTCTTCCTAGATTATCTTGACCTGCAAGCTCTGCTGAAACCTGTTGGGCATCATTAAAAAAACTAAGCCCAACCCACTGCCAGTCAATTCTGACTTACAGTGATGCTGTATAGGAGTCCTAGTGTAGCACAGTAGGATAAGCACTGGGCTGCTAACCTAAAGGTTGCAGTTCAAACCCACCAGCTGCTCCTTGGAAACGCTATACAGGGTCACTAGGAGTCAAAACCATCTCAACAGCACTTAACAACCACATAGGAGTCCTGATGTGGCACTGTAGGATATGCACTGGACGACTAACCACAGGTCGACAGTTCAAACCCACCAGCTGTTCCTTGGAGACCCTATATGGGGTAGAGTTAATGACAATAATAGGGTTTCCAAGGTTATAAATCTTCATGGGAGAAAGCATTATCTTTCTCCTGCCAAGTGGCTGGTAGGTTTGTATTGCTAACCTTCCATTTAACAGTCTAGTGCTTATACTACAGAATCAATTGTTGCTGTTAAGTGTTGTCCAGTTGGTTCTGATCCATAAGGATGCTGTATAGAACTTCCAAGGAGCAGCTGGTGAGCTTTAATCACTGACCTTGCGGCTCAAACCAACTTTGCAGTCCAGCACATTAACCCACAGTGCCACACTAGGATTCCACAGCATCAGTAGGAACACATAAACCTCCTCTGACAAAAGGGTGATGGCTGTGCATGAGGTGCATTGACCGAATCAAACCCTGATCTCTCACATGAAGTTGAGAATTCTACCACTGAAACAGAAATGTTTGCCTTTTATTCCCTAGTCTAGAGTCTGTACTGGACTAATTCTGGAATATAAACATATTATTGGATCTTAATGCCATTCACTTCTCTCATATTGATGTTGCTGTGTGCTACTGCTTTCAAGTCGATTCTTACTCCTAGCAATCCTGCATAGGGTTTTCAAGGTTGTAAATCTCTATGGGAGCAGAAAGCCTCATCTTTCTCCTTTGGAGCAACTGGTAGATTCCAACTGTTGACCATGCAGTTGCACATAACTCACTATGCCACTGGGGCTCTTCTTTCATATTGTTGTGTGCCATTGAGTTGATTCAACTCACAGTGACCCTATATGTAGGGTTCCCAAGGGTGCAAATCTTTACAAGAGCAGAAAGCCTCATCTTTCTCCCATATTGCTGTTGTTGGTGTTAAATGCCACTGAGTTGGTTGTGACTCTTAGCAACACTGTGTAAGGTTTCTGAGGAGTGGCTGGTGAATTTGAATTGTCAACCATAAGGTTCAAGTCGACCTTGAGGTCCAGTGCTTACCCTATAGTGCCACAACAAGCCTCACATTTTATTGGGAGCTACATGTCTAAAACTTTTGCCCTTTCATCAGAATCTCAGGGCTAATATTTTTAAAGGCCATCTAGATCGGCTCTTGTCTGCATGATGGTTACAAAAACCTGACAGGTTTAGAAGTTTCCATTCTAACTTCCCAGTCTTTCCTTATGTGGAGCTGAAATCGTTCTTCCATAAAACACAAGTCTTTCAGATAATTGAAAACAGCTTGTGTCTGCTAAGCCAAAACAATCCTGTTTCTTCAATCTAAATAATGATGTGAATATTTAAAACCAACCAACTAACCAAGTGAAAAGAAGCAGATTGGAAATATTAATAGATACCTTAAGGAATAAAGAGAAAGGGCAGGTAGTTATCCAGTGATAGGACTCAGGCTACAGGTTCATAAGAGGCAGGGGATTGAAAGAAGTTTTAAGAATTAAATATAAATATCAAGCTCCTTAACAATATCCTTTTTAACTATATAAAGGGTAATAATCCAGATGGAAGAAAAAACTGAGGCTAAAAGTAAACAACTTAGAAAAATAATGCAGATGAGACTAGTGTGGAAGGGTTTTGTGTGTACCATTAAGAATTATATGCAGATTATTGGTTGACTGATAAAAATAGTTAATGGCTGTTAATTTTGTTAACAACTGAAGTTGGAAATAAAAACATAATAACTAGTGGTGTATATATCTTCATATCCAATCAAAATCAGGTTAGTAATAGGCTTATATATTTTCTTTGAAGTCTGAGAAATAAGAATGTTATCTATGGGTAGCTTTCATTCTCCAATGTGAAAAAATGATAAAATAATGATTCCTCTCCTAGCATCCATTTTCTAAGGGGTTTCTGTGTAGCTCCAAACAGCAGGAAAACTTTCTGTCAATATCAAGATTTAGTTAAAAAACTAGTCCTCAAGAAATTGTGGCTCTTATGAGGACTTACCATACAATTACTTCCTAACATCTGTATTTTGACCTCTTAAGCATTTGGCCTCATCAGATACGCGAGCCTCCTAGGAGGATTTATCTATCAAGGCTCCCATTTCCACTCTTTAATACATGTTTATCCATGGGCTGTTCTAATGTTGAGGCAGCTAGAGGTAGCCAAGAACTGTAAGCCTAATATCCTTTCACCTTTAATAATCTAATAACATTTCGAAAAACTTGGTTTATAGTTTTTAACAATGAGGTCATTTAAAAGTTAAAGGCTAAATAACACATTCTATAATAATTGTTTATTTTCCCAAATGAGAGAAAAAAATTTTTTTTCATAGTTGAAATCAAACTAGAAACTTTGGATACTAAAGAAATGTTGTTGCTGCTATGTGCCATGGAGTCAGTTCCGACTCATAGCGACCCTGTACAGGGTTTCTGAAGTTGTCAATCTTTACAGGAACAGAAAGACTCATCTTTCTTCCGCGGAGTAGCTGGTAGTTTCGAACTGCTGACATTGCGGTTCGCAGCCCAATTCATAATCATTATGCTACCAGAGCTCAAAGAAATACGTAAGTAAAAATCATTTGGAAATTCATCATTTATAACTATTTCTGTGCACATTACTTGATTTGTTACGTTATATAATTTTACAAACTATATAGTAGTCATGTGTTGTATAATGTTCATTTAGGCAACATCTGATTGCATGTGTGTCCATGTTCCCATAAAGTATCTGAAATCCAAATTGCAAAATGGATATAACTGGATGGAGTGAACACAACAGGTCCCAACACACGTGTACCTCATGTCTCCTGTGTACAAAGTGAATGTGCTACCAGGCGTATGATGGTGCAGTACACTGTCTGCTTTCTAAAGATTTACTGCCTTGGAAGTCCTATGAGGATGTTCTACTCTATTTTAGAGGGTCACTAAGAGTCAGCATGAGCTCAACAGCAATGGGTTTGGTTTTGCGACAACTAAGAGTTGTCAGGTTTTTATTACACTCAGGAATTCTAGTTTCTGCATTAGCCTATCATCAAGGCAAATCAATAAGTACAAATCACATCACAAAATAAATATTGGTTAAAATATTTGCCCACAACTATGGCATGTGGTTCTTAGCATCTAACTTACTCTAAAATTTTTGCCAGTTTTAAGTTATTTGGATTTAAGATAGTGAATGTATGTAAGTGTAGAGGAGCAGGGTGGGAAAGAGGACATTTTATAAAATAGGAAGGCATGCTGAATTCCGACTGACAATTCAGATGGAACTTCCTAAGAACTTTACAGTATATGTTTCAACTTGCAGATAGCAGTACCCATTCTTTTTTTGGGGGGTGGGTTGGTGGGTAGGAGTAAGAAATTAGGGTGAGGATTAAGGCTAGGTCTAGGATTTCCTTTAGTGTTAGGGTTATGGTTATGACAGGTTAATGTTAGGGGTAGTGGTTAGGCGAGGGCTTAGAGTAAAGTTTAGTCTAGTTTTAGGGCTACAGTGTTTGTTTTTTTCTTGAAATTACTTGATTTCTTCTTCATGTGGAAGTTCTGTAAGTAACTACATTATTTCATTTTTTCACTTTATGGATTTCTTTTCCTGTAACAGGTTATCTCCAATTTCCTATTTTCAGTCTTGTAGGTTTGTTTTGCTTTGAATACTACTCTATCTGAAGTTGAGTTCTGGATGATTGTGGTGCCTTGAATTTACCTGATGTGATTTTTCAAAGTCTGCCTAATTCCCACCAAGTGATTGGGTGGGACTATGCAAATAAGATATAAAGGACTCTAAGGCTGAGAAAAGGAGTTCTGGTAGCATAGTGGTTATGAATCGGGCTGTGAAGTGCAAGGCCAGCAGTTTGAAAGTACCAGCTGTTCTGCGGGAGAAAGATGAGGCTTTCTGCTCCCGTAAAGATTTACAGCCTCAGTAACCCTGTACAGGTCACTATGAGTCAAAATTGACTCAACGGCACATAACCACCAACCACCAAGGCTGAGATTGGTTAGTTTTCTCTCCAGCTAGACTTAAAAGAAGCCATCTCAGAAGTAGAGATGGAAGATCCCAGGATGATCAAGAAGCAAGAACATAAATGAAGCCTGAGAAACAGCAACGGCAGAGGTGGTGGCATGGAGAGACAGAGCAGCTTCAGACTCTTGACTCATGGACTGAGTAAAGCTGAGTGCCTGAGGGTAGGAGGCTGGCTTGAAGAGCACGCCCTTTGGGCATTCACAGATTGACTAAGAGAGCTTTGTAACACTTGCTGGAGCAGGGCAGAGGCCAAGGACCACATGGCCGAGAGCACAAAAACAAGATAGAGGCATGCTTGCAATATGACAGACAAGAGGGGTTCTGACTAAAAAGCTACTGTGTCCTGAGCTTTTTTTGAACCTGAATTGTACCCTGTTGACTTCCCTGTTGTTGTTAAGTGCTGTAGAGTAGG